AATTTTTTAAAATATTATATATAATTTTATATTTTTAATGATACTTATTCTTTTTGTGGTTGTGTAAAACAAAATACTAACCATTTTTATAGTAACAAAAGAAAGATCTATTTGTAGTAACAAAAGTCACTCTTCTCAATACAAAATATACAGAGTATCAGCATGCTTGCATTGCGACTCTTCAAACAAATTAAATGCGTAAACAATGTCGGTGGACGAGTGATTTATATTGGGAGGCATATTTGAGTTTAAAATTACACTAGAAAATACTTTTAGCTACTGATGGACTTTGACAATAATTTTTGAAATTGAAAAATCGTTTTTGACCATAAGGACTTTATTCTCATCCATTCTTTCTTCTTCCTCCTCTCCTCCTTTTCTTCTTACGCATTCCCACCTTCATTTTGTTCATCACAATCCAATATTACCACTTCAATTTAATTGTGATCTAAATTATACAAAACCTAAACCATCTAATCCAAATTTTCTTTTTTTATATCTAAGCATACATTACCGAAATCAAACTGGATTTTTTTTATAGGTTAAATTAATATAGATATTTCATTCCAAGTTGGATCTCGATGATTTGCTCTCATACAATTATCTGTAATAGATACAATAACTTGGGTTTTATCACAATTGACTAGATTTATTATTCAATTAGGAGAATTTGTGAAGCCAGTTTCAATCTCAATTTCGTGGATACGATTGCGTGGACATGATTTTGAAGACTAACAAGCAAGCATCGTAGACAAGTTTGTATGAATAAGTATTTGTGGTCCATGGCTCTTTGTCCACCACTAAATGTTCACGGTTCTTTGTCCACAGCTCAAACACATAGATGTACGTGTGGTCATCACATTTTTTTCCATGCTAGAATGTCCATGGAAACTCAGCCATCTATATCAATTTCAAACTCTGCAAGGAGAATGAACATATAGAGTTATGGAGTCGCATTTTTGTCCATGATTTATATTATAAATTGTCCATATGATCTTGTACATAACAAAGTCCATTACAAATTATCCACAATAATCCCATATAAGTAAACACATTCAATAGTGTCATCAATTCGAGTTCATCCCTTTGACTGTAAACAAACATGTTATTCGTATCAGTGGTTTTGGTTTTGCCGTAGAGATTAGAGGTAACCATTTGAGATCAACAATAATGTTATCCATTTGAGTTTATTAATTAGCAATGTATACATTAACATATATGATAAATACCAAGATCATGAAGAGAGCTAACTATATATATACATGTTATTTTCTTCTCCCATCGATCATGTCTGCGACCTCTTATTCGTGATTTTATATCTATGAATTTATATGTACGACTTCGTTTCCATAACCGCATGTCCAATTTGTAAATAGACAGTTTTTGCAGAGTTATTCTCAACTTTATATCCATGAATTCATATCTACAGAGGCACAACCTAATATCCATAACAGCATATCCATGGTTTAATGTCTATAATCGCAGGTTTCGATATAGTCTGTACGGAAGAGATTGTGTTCATATGTTGTGTCCATGAGAATCCGTCCATGAGTGTTTGTCCAGCACAGTATATCCAAAATTTTTGCCTCGGAATCGTCGTCGGTCTCGACCGTTTCTGTTTTCAAAATTTCAATTTTATCCGGTTAGCCATGATCGCTCTGCTCCAGAGCGTCCTTCTGTGAGCGGAAACAGCGAGAACGCAATCGGCGATTTTGCGGATGGCTTTTCCCCACTTCTAAGCGGTAGGAGATGATGTCGCGGTAGAGGAAGAGCTGAGGCGGACCTGTTGCTGTGCTTGGATCAGCTTCAGCGGAGCAGAGAAGCTGGATTAAAATAAAAAAAAACTAACAACAAATCGATTTAGAATGATAGAAGATCAAATTCTAGTATAGAAGTTAATGTAATGAGTGGATCAATTTGGTGGATAAATCATGTTAATCGGCTTTGTCAATTTGGCGGAGAAATCGTGACATACATGAATAAATGTTCGACTGGAAATTTTCTGGGTTCTATAAAATAAGATGTAAAATTTGTCGAAGATAAGGAAAATATTAATTGGTTAACTGGGATAATTTAATCTTTTTATTGTTGAAAGTGCATCAATCCCTTAAAGTGATGTAATATAAGACTAGGTAATAACACGCACCCTGTGCGAGGTGAAATAATTATTATTAATTTAGATTTAATATAATTTTAAAATTATATAATATAATATAATTAAATTTATATAAATTTTATATAATATTATACTATAACATTGACAATATAGATTTTTATTTATATTTATGAAATATAAGATAATTTTATTGTAATGTAAATTAATTTAAAAATTAAGTAGCATGCATAACACATGATATAGCTCGGTAAAAATACGAAGTTACCGTACAGATTTTCTATATCCCATAATTGATGATATGATTCTTTATTTTCACTAATGTCTAAAATTTAGGTATACAATATTTAATTAATTTGACTCTTAAATAATTAAATATTATTAGTTAAATAGTTTGTTACTTATCTATTAAATATTAGTAGTTAAATAAATTAATAAATTTTCCTAGTCCTAAATTTGACTTGTTCAAAATATAATACAAATCGATAAGATAATATTTTTTTTAGAAAAATCTATATAAATATATGGTTTCACTAATATCATAAATTAATAATTATCATAAAATAATTTTATATAAATATATAACTATGATAATTTACTAAAATATAAATATATAATGGTTTGTTTTTCTGAAAATGGAAATAATGTTATCTACATTTAAAAGTGAAATATTTAAAGATATCATTAACTTTTAAAATAAATATATATTTTAATTAATTATTAATAATTAATTTATTTAATACTAAAACTGATAAATTTATAATTCTATAAATTAAATAAATATTAAAATCACAATATTGTCAATTTATAAAAAAAATTAAAGTAATAAAATTGATTGATTTAAAGCCGAGAAACTAAGGAAAAAAAAAACATGAACAAATTTTGCTGAAAATTTAATATTGTATATGATAAATCAAACATTAATTAAAAAATAAACAATTATTATTGATATTATCTTACCAAAAAAAGTAAGCATTAATGCTATATACCATATTTATTATCTAACAATCATATATAAATTATATCATAATGCAATATATCATATTTCCTTATATAGTAAATCTGAATATTAATAATATATATCATAATAATTTTTGAAATTCGTGATTATGATTTATTTTTCTTTTAATTGATGTTTCTGATGAAAATAACATATAATTTTAATAATATATTTTTGTATATATAATTATTAATTGTTAAAAGATATAAAGTTAAAAATATTTAGCTTGAAGTATTATATATGTTTTCACAATTATTTTCATGCATGCTATAATTACAATAATATGTGAATAAAATCATTATGGTTTTCTTTTATTTGTTCTGATTGATTTTTGAGTAAAATATAAAATATTATTTTTAATTATTCTGTTGTATTTATAAGAATATTTTTAATAAACATATTTTCTAATAAAAGTAGTAAACATTAGTAAAGTGTTATATATTTTGTTATGAATTTGAGAAAATAAAATATTATTTTTAATTTTTCAGTTGTTTTTATAAGAATATTTTTTATGAATAATCAATAAACATATATTTGTAGAAAGTAGTAAACATTAAAAATATTATATATTTTGCTATGAATAATAATAATAGTAAACACTGAAAAATATTATATATTTTATTATGAATTTATAAATATATATAGATAATATTTTTAAAATATTATATAATAAATTTCCTGTGTATTATAATTAGCATTAAACAAAATAAATTATTAATTCCAATATTATTGTATTTTAATTCATTTAAAAATAAAATATAACATATTTGTGGATCTAAAATATACAATGACATATCATGTAATTAGTCTAGTAATCTAAGTCTTTCTAAAAAAATCATCTAAGAATGAATATGGGGTTGACACATCAGCATAATGACACCACTGTAAATCATATAATATATAAAAGTTGATGGCATAGTGCATTGAGGGCGTCCACATGGGATTAAAAAACTCGATCTGATTGGTCTACATTAGCATATTCATTAAATAAATAAAAATGTTAAGTATGATTAGGACGGAAAAACTTGATTTAATTAGTCCACATCAGCTTTTACATTAAACCAAAAACTATTAAGTATAATTAAAACATGAAAATTTAATTTAATAAATTATGTCCAACAAAAAAGTAAATTCAATCTGATTGATCCAAATCAACATATTTATTAAATAAAAAAATATTAATATGGTTTAAAATTTTAAAATTTAAATAAAAAATTAACAATTAACAATACATGTATATAAAAAAGTAACCATTATCAATTATCAATTTTAAAAAATCTACAACAACTCGATTTAACAATTAAAACAATGAAAACTAAACAAAAATATAACATAAAACTCTTGGAAGACATGATGGAGAAGAAAAAAAATAGTTTTGCATGATCATTACAGCTTCCTAACAAAATTAAATGCTAATCAACATGAATCATGGATTATATATACAGTGGGACACAACATCAATAAGACTTTCAATAAAAAACTAAATATTTGAACACATAAACCTTCAAGAAAAAAAAAACTATAGAAATTCTTTGGAAAACAGAAAATAATACCAAAATCTTAGCAAGATTATATTTCTCTAAATCAAATATATATGTATGTCAAAGTTGGATAATTTGATAGGTGTCATAGTTATTATTTTACATAATAGTTTTTTAAAATTTATAAATAAAGTAAGATAAATTACACATTATATATTAAATTCTCTTATGAAAATTTTTATAAATATATATAATTTTTAATAATTTTAAAGATAGTAACTAAAAAAATAAACCAAAATATTAATAAAGACTTGCATATAGCGCGAGTTATATACCTAGTACTTACAAAAAATAAAGTTAATAATGCTTCTAGGGGATTCATAAAGTATCTTTTGAATTTGAATGTAATTAACTCGTCGGTGGACGGTTGGCAGAGACGCAAAGTTATAAAATAAAATAAAAACAAAAACAAAAACAAATCAGCTCAAACCTTCTCAGAGTTTCAGAAGGTTCTGGTTTCCCTTTCCTTAACTTCTTAGCCGAATTGGACGGACGACTAAAAGTAGAGTCGTCGTTTTGGAGCTAACACCGACGATGACGCCGATCATCCGATCCTGCCCCGTCCTCACTTTCCTCGTTTTCCAAATTTGCCTGATCTTCTTTACTTCCACTCTCCCATGCTCTTCTGGGTAATAACGAATCGTTCTCTGATTTCATCTCGTTTTAAAAGCTGTCGAATGTATACTTCAGTTTCATCGTATCCCATCGATTTTAATCTCTGGAGCATCTGATTTCGAATTTGATATAGTTATTTGACTAGTTCACTACTTTGATTTTGAAAATCCCAGAAATTAGGGTAAATCTCGAAACGCAAGGTCGTAAAAATCTATCTGTTTTCCTTCGTTCTTAAGCTCTCTTTGTTCTGGTTACTGTGCAGGTCTGAAGATAGTTACACCATCACTGGTAGAGTGAGGATTCCACCAAGTAAGTTCAGCTTTTTTACCTTCTTTCTCTCATTGATCTTGTGTTCTTCTCTGTGTTGTCCTGAAGGGCATAGTTCACACAATTTTCTTATCGATTTTTTTTTAATTGTATCAAATCTCTAAGGCTTATTATTCAGCTATGTCTGGAAAAGCCAATATTAGCTTTATCTTAAGATAATTAGCGGATGTATTCTGTTTTTGTATTCATTTGTCCAATGGTCTTGAATTGATGTTTATTCTGATGCTTGAATTCTCAACTTAATCAACATAGGTTATTTTTCCCAGTGATCTTTCAGTCTGTATATTTTGAAGCTTACAGTTTCATTAGATCAGTTTTTAATATATTGTATGTAGTAGCTCATCTCTGTAATAGGACTGTGACTGAAGTATTCAGAGGAAACATGTTTTGATGTTCTGAATGATGGTTTTGTACTGCTTCATGCTTATACTGCATGTATTACGATACATTAAACACCATCGAACTGATCTACAAGCTATTTCGTAGGCAACGTGATCGGTCACACAGCAAAGTTCTCAAATGTGAAAGTTATACTCAATGGTGGACAGAGTGTTACGTTTCTCAGGCCTGATGGATACTTCACTTTGTATCCTATTCACCCTTCAGTTATAAAAACTTCTTTCGATTATATATACAAAGAAATGATACTCACAGTATCTGATAATTGGTTAGAGTAATGGTATTATGATTCTTGATTTATGCGGTCCTTGACTAGACCGGTTTGTAAAGTCACAAAGTACCTGCCGGGACTCATTTGATGGAAGTGTCTGCGAGGGGCTACTTCTTCTCTCCGGTAAGTTGTTTGTTGGTTTCTGAATTTTTGATTTTGTTAAGAACAAGATTCTCATGCTAACAATGGATAATCAAAATTAGGTACGAGTAGATGTAAGTGCTCGGCATCATGGCAAGGTTCAAGCAACACTAACGGAAACCAGGAGGAGTCTTACTGAGCTGGTTTTGGAGCCATTAAAGGAAGAGCAATACTACGAGGTGATGATACTTCACATGACTCTTTTCTTTATTGTATATTTGGCTTTGCTTCCTTCATATCTTCTGATTTGATCTTGCAAACTACTACTCAGGTTCGAGAGCCTTTCAACATTTTGTCACTTGTGAAAAGTCCGATGGGTCTTATGGTGGGATTCATGGTCGTGGTTGTGTTCCTAATGCCGAAACTGATGGAAAACATAGGTACTGTGTCTATTACTCTCGACTTGTATGCGAACCTTGTGCAACCACATACCACATTCATCTTTCAACAGCTTGAGATATGTTCTTTATCACGATTTCACTCAAATTGTGTCGTAAACAGATCCAGAGGAGATGAAGCAAGCACAAGAGGAAATGAGGAGACAAGGTGTGCCTTCGCTCTCAAGCTTGTTGCCAAGCGCTGTAGCTAGCCGTTAAGGAGTTCCTCGGTTAGCACAGTGTATCACATATGGACCAGAGAAAAGGTATTACATTCTTCTGAGACACAAACTCGTTGTAATATAGTTGTTTTAAAGAGCAAACAAAACTAAATGTAATGTAACTTTAAAAGAACCTTATTAGCAAAAAAACTCATCTTTATTATCAAAAAGTATTAAATCAAGAAGTCAAACTCCTTTTAGCTTCTATAACAAGAATTCAAAGCATACTTTGACATAAACTATCACGAAGACTTCATTGTGCAGTTCAATGGCATGGATTCGTGCACCTTGAAGTTAACATTGGGACTGAGACCTGATTCGTTGTAACGCATTAGTTCCTGCAGTAAATTGGGGTTTTGTTGTAAATGTAGAGGATCATCTTTAATGTAGATCTCCAACTCCTTCAAACTAGGAAAATAGTTCAAGAAATGCTTTATCATCTATAACTCTTCTGTGGTTCCTTCAAACCCTAGTCTCTAACCTCTTCACTGGACAAGACACAAGCGAACGGCCTTTCTCCTCAGGCGAAATGCAGATACATGAATCCCCACATTTATCTGTGACACGGTGTAAGAGACCCTGAAAGTTGGAAGAAAAAACCTTAGAGGAGTTTCAAAGCATGAACTGTGTCTCTTTAAGTGTTTTGCTCTAGTTATCATGGCTTGGATTGTATTTATATATTACCTTAAGGACTAGAGTTGCTAGATGTGGACAATTTCTTAAGAGAACAGGCATTGCTTGCCATGCAAGATCCATGTTATGTGTAAGAATGTGAGGTTGTTGAACACTGGCATCGACATCTCCCATAAGATTAAGTAGGTTTCAAACTTTCAACATTATATTTTTTATATTCTTATATTTCACATCATCTTTTTTTTCCTTCCACCTAATCATTTAATATCTACTCAATTTTTTCTATTATATAATGGTTTTGTTTAAAATTTAACATCATATTTTACTATTTTTTAATGTTTTTTATAGATCAACAAATTTCTATTTATAGAGTATATAAATGATGAATTTTGATTTTAAATTTTAATTATAAGATAGTTGATTTTAAATACTTAAAATAAAAAGGAAATAACAATAATTTATATAACTAATGATAATGTGTCACCTGACATTGTCTCTCTTAATTTTTTTTTATGTTTCAACGTGTTAAATGTTTAAATGAGCAGTTGATTCATTTTTTAAAAAAACTAATTTAAAATATGATTAATTTCGTCTATCCTTTTACCTAAATCAAATTAAATTAGTAAAAATATAATATTCAAATTAATTATTAATAGTGAAGATTACAATAATCAGGTCTAATCATCATATAATATATAAAAGTTGATGGTATAATGCATTGATGGCATCCACATGAGATTAAAAAACTTGATCTGATTGGTCCACATCAGCATATTCATTAAATAAAAAATGTTAAGTATGATTAAGACGAAAAAATTTGATTTAATTGGTCCATATCAGCTTTTAAATCAAACCAAAAATTATTAAGTATAATTAAAACATTAAAAGTTAATTTAACAAATTATGTCCAACAAAAAAGTAAATTCAATCTGATTGATCCAAATCAACATATTTATTAAATCAGAAAATGTTAATATGGTTTAAAAATTTAAAAGTTAAATAAAAAAATTAACAATCAACAATACATGTATAAAAAGTAACCATTATCAATTATCAATTTAAAAACATCTATAACAACTCAATTTAACAATTAAAACAATAAAAACTGAATAAAAATATAACACAAAACTCTTGGAAGACATGATAGAGAAGGAAAAAATGGTATTGCATGATCATTACAGCCTCCTAACAAAATTAAATGTGAATCAACATAAATCATGGGTTATATATACAGTGGTACACAACATCAATAAGACTTTCAATAAAAAACTAAATATTTGAACACATAACCCATCAAGAAAAAAAGAACTATATAAATTCTATGAAAAACAGAAAATAATACCAAAATCTTAGCAAGATTATATTTCTCTAAATCAAATGTATATGTACGTCAAACTTGGATAATTCTATAGGTGTCATTGTTATTATTTTACCTAATAACTTTTTAAAATTTATAAATAAAAATATGATAAATTACATATTATATATTAAATTCTCTTATATAAATGAAAATTTCTATAAATATTTATAGTTTTTAATAATTTTAAAGATAGTAGCTAAACATATAAACCAAAATATTAATACAGACTCACGCGTAGCGCGAGTTATATACCTAGTATAATATATAAAAGTTGATGGCATAGTGCATTGAGGGCATCCATATAAGATTAAAAAATTCGATATGATTGGTCCACATCAGCATATTCATTAAATAGAAAAATGTTAAGTATGATTATGATGGAAAACTTCATTTAATTGGTCCACATCAGCTTTTAAATCAAACCATAAATTATTAAGTATAATTAAAACATTAAAAGTTAATTTAATAAATTATGTCCAACAAAAAAAATAAATTCAATCTGATTGATCCAAATTAACATATTTATTAAATCAGAAAATGTTAATATGATTTAAAAATTTAAAAGTTAAATAAAAAAATTAACAATTAACAATACATGTATAAAACAAAGTAATCATTATCAATTATCAATTATCAATTTCAAAAAATCTACAACAACTGGATTTAACAATTAAAACAATGAAAACTGAATAAAAATATAACACAAAACTTTTGGAAGACATGATGAAGAAGGAAAAAATAGTTTTGCATGATCATTACAACTTCCTAACAAAATTAAATACGAATCAACATGAATCAGAGATTATATATACAATGGTACACAACATCAATAAGACTTTTAATAAAAAACTAAATATTTGAACACATAAACCTTTAAGAAAAAAAAACTATAGAAATTCTATGGAAAATAGAAAATAATACCAAAATCTTAGCAAGATTATATTTCTCTAAATCAAATGTATATGTACGTCAAAGTTGGATAATTCTATATGTGTCATTGTTGTTATTTTACCTAATAGTTTTTTAAAATTTATAAATAAAAATAGGATAAATTACACATTATATATTAAATTCTCTTATATAAATGAAAATTTCTATATATATATATATATATAATTTTTAATAATTTTAAAGATAGTAGCTAAAAAAATAAACCAATATATTAATACAGACTCGCGCGTAGCGCGATATACCTAGTAGGTATATAACATTCAAGGTTGTTTATTTATAATTTTAAAAGTCCATTTGGCAATTTTATTGTGAAAATAAGACCCTTATAGGGAAAATTGTAAAAAACAAGTCTATTAATTTGTTTTCAGTTTGTCATTAATCTACTATAAATTTTCTTTTAGTATGTCATTGTATTTAATCTAATTTGAATTGTATAACTAATTAGTCTGCCACTAAATCTTGCCACTAAATCTATCACTAGTTTGTATTTAGTAAATCATTAGTCTCCATGACAATATAGCTCGAAGGAATAAAATATTTATTAAAAATATCATTTCTACAATTTTTTCTTATCGAAGTCTATGTATAACATTATTTTTCTATTATAGATCATTTTGGATCATTTCCTTTTAACATTTAAATCCTTTAAGTTCAAATCTGATAACTAGATCTAAATGAGCATTTCTTCAAACACAAAAACTCGTTAAAATAACCCACGAATCTAGAGCTCATTTTAACCTAAGTTGATTCAGTCTTAAGCATAGGTAAGGAAATATCGTGTGCATGCTCCAAATCAAAAGGACATGATAAAGCTCCTATTTTCAACTTAACAAGTGTCTTGACATTAAAAGTTCCAAAGGCAGATGATATTCGTATCCGAAACAAATGAACACATCCATGTCTAAAACACCAAGTTGCAGCATATTACAGATCCACTGATTCACACGATGTGAAACAACACCTCTTCTGCACTTGAAACAGAATTGATTCATGGAAGAATCACCCTGCAAAGCCAATACTCTATCCACAAAATCCATAAAGCTTTGTAGAACTCCTTTCCTTTCTCGCGTACCTCTTCAGGATGCAAAAAGGTAGAGTCATCAATATTAAGATTAGGGACAAAAACAAATAGATTGTCCCACCTCTTAGAGAGAACTGATGTCAAAGCAGCCTCCTTCGTTGTAAGGAAGAACAAGACATGACAAAGAAGCTCCTCTGGTAGACCGCTGATCTGATCCATCTTCTCTCCACAAGACATTAACTTGGGAGGGCAGAAAACAAGTGGAAAAGAAGATTTAAAGGGGTGTTATTCAATCCTCGATTTTAATAGAGGTTTAAGTTTAAGCACAATCTATTGTGGTTTATGAATTATTACTATGTATATATTTTATTAAAATGTAGTGTTATTAAAAGAGTTTGAAATATATTGTTATATTGGCTCTTATTCTTACAATCTTTTCATTAATAGAGATTGAAATCTATTGTTATTCAATTAAATATTTAAAGTTAATTGAATAAAACAATCATTTTGTGTTGTATGGAACAAAGTTAAGAAAACTAATGTGTATCTTAGTTAGATTTCTTATAAGATAAAATCTCAGCGAATTAACTTTGTTTACTTTAAAGGTAAAGTGAACCAATAATAAGCAATAGACACAATTGGTCAACTTGAACTTTAATTGACCCATATGGAAAAAAAACTGAAACTTTACATGATTATTCCAGAAAATACTTATACTATAACTCTTATAAATACCCCCTAAATATCTTGGTGTAAATGTAAATCAAACAAAAAGTCAAAAAACAAATATTAGAAAATTACAGAATATTGATTTCATGGGTTCCCTACTTAAACTGTACTTTGCATTCATATCCATAGTTTTTGTAGCTCAATCTGGAGAAACTATAAGAGATTTAAAATCTTTTAAGGTAAATTGCAAGAGAAATCCTCATATATGCATATATTGTGGAAATGTTTTCTAAGTTTTAAAACCAATATTTTGTTGATTAATTTATGCATGATACTGACGTCAAATATATTTTCTATAGTTAAATGAAAACATCATATACGATTGTGTGGATATATATAAACAACCTTCGTTAAATCACCCATTACTCCAAAACCATAAAATTCAGGTATTCATTCGCCACACAATATATACAACGTTTTTTTTTTTCAATTTTTTATTTGTAGTTTTGTCTATTTTTTTGAAGTATGTTTTGTCTATTTTTTTCTTAATTTTTAAACGAGATCACAGTTTTTTTGTGCAAAAAACGAGATCACAGTATTTTCCTTTACTATTCTGAATATATTAAATAATCAATACATTTTTAAACAGAAACTAAAATAAGTTTAGTAATCTTCAATCGACTAAACTGATTTTATTTTAATTATAATAGTTTAAAAACTGAATTCAAGTTTTGATGTTGTATATAATAATTTATGAAGAGTTTTTTTTTTAAAAAAAACAGAAATTAAATATTTGTTAGTTGAGTAGTTTCTTAATTTTTAAACATGATCACTATATTCTACTTTATTATTCTGAATATTTTAGTAATCAATATATAGTTGACTCAAAAATAATCAGAAAACGTGAAAACTATCCATTTAAAACATTTCATTATTAATCTTAGTTGTTTTTCTTATTGTCTAAAAAATACATTTCTACTGAAACTAAGAAATAAGTTTAGTAATCTTCAATCGACTAAAACTGATATTATTTTAAAAGTTTAAAAACTGAATTCAAGTTTTGATATTGTACTTAGTTTATGTAGAGTTTAAAAAAAAAAACAAAACTCAAATATTTGTTAGTTGAGTATTCTAATTTTTACCGCAACAATTTTTTTATTATAAATAATGGTACATGTCTTTTTATGATATGTATATATGTAATTTTGATATCTTAATAGAAAAAATGCTATGTTTTGAAATTGATTATCTAAAATATGATTTGTTTTTCACTTGATGATATATACTTTTAAATAGATGGAACCATCTTTTTCGAGTTCCAAACAAAATATTTCAGTTAAAAATAAAACTGAAAGTACAAAGATAATCGAGTGTCCAAATGAAACAGTTCCTATATTAAGGAATACAACTAAATATGTCATAAGTGCTCAATATTGGGAGAAAATACATTTGAATCCTCTCACAGCCGAAAGCCATGGATCACATGTAAGCATATCTATTGAAATTATTTGAGCTACGAATATGTATTTTTTGAAGATTTATATGATTTAATAAACTTATTATAAATTTGCAAATTTGTATATTGCTGGAGTTAGATCACAAGCTCAAGGTCCTTACCATGGTGTGTCAGCTACAATTAGTGTACATGATTTGAACATTAGTAGGGACCAAGCTTCATATGCTAATATATATGTTGGCGGCGGAGTTAGCAACAAATTTAATTTTATCCAAACCGGTTGGATGATAAATCAGATACAAAATTGCTTTTAGTTATTAATTTTAATATCGATTTTTGTCAACTTTAATGTATATATAATGATTTAAAAAAACCGAATGCACTAATTATATTCACAGGTAAATCCAAGTTTATTTGGTGATGTACGCACATATAGTTACGGATTTTGGAAGGTGAATTGATCGACGCATATACTCTTTACTATGTTCTAATAAAAATCCAAACATCAAGCCATTCTTAATTACATCAATTTCTTCAGATTTATAGAAAACAACAATCACGTAGATTTTCCACACGTGATATATTCATATGGATGAAACTAAAATATTATGATTAAATAATGATAGGGTGTGAACGGAGCAGGCTGTTATAATACACTATGTCATGGGTTTGTTCAAGTGTCAAAAACTGATCCTTTAAGCGGGCCTTTACCTCATCTTCAGGAGGGAGGAAGAGTTATTTCTGTTTCTATTCAACAGGTAATTGTGATGTTATAATATACATGCATGTACACACGTTTTAGAAACAAATATTATTATTTTGGTTGTAAATAAAAAAGTACTATTATTTTGTAGTAGATCATAAAACCTAACATGGTATATCTTTATATTTGTTAATTATTTATTGAAGGATAAACAAACAGGACACTGGTGGACAACAGATATAATACGTGATGGACCAGATGTACATATTGGTTATTGGCCAAAAGAATTATTTGATGTTATAGGTAATAGTGCGAGCATTGTTGGAGTTACAGGAGCAGTCCAAACTTCTCCTTCTGGCAAAAACCCACCAATGGGTAATGGTCATCTACCAACTGAAGATGACACTGTCTCAGCACATGTTGAATATCTTGAAATCATAGATTCTAATTATAGAGTCCAGGGAAGTAACAAATATAAGTTAGAGAAACTTTTAGACAACAACAAATGTTATGGTTTAAAAGATGGAAAGAAAACAATTTTGTTCAAATTTGGTGGATCTGGAGGAGATTCTTGTGGGATTTAAATATCACAAGTGATGTTTCTTGGTTATAAAAAATAATTAATAATTGGATTTCAGGTTTTATGTCAAAGTATTAAAATATTATACTTTTATATGCAAAGAAAGTACTCCATATGTGCATATAGTGTATAATCTCTCATTTGATGTGTTTGTACATAATTGGTTTATCATTTTATTTCATATGTGCATATAGCAGATCTCGAGACAACAATGATCCTAAAATCGAACATAAACATGATATATCTGCTAAGGCAAATCTCTGGCAAATAGGGGAAAAAGTACATGAAAATCTAGCTATGAAAACATATCAATGTCAAATAATAACCAAAATATCACGTAAAATTATAACAACGATTCAGTTTCACAACATTTCATATATAAATATTCTAGAAAATATTAAACAATATACCAATTAAAGATGCAAAGTTGACGACTAGTAATATCCCGTCCTAATACTAGTATCAGTGAAATGAAATTAATCGGTTAATGAATACCGAAAGTGATGTATGTTTAATTTCTTTTGATCAGCATAAGGTTCTATGGTTATCAAATTATTTATAATGAATACCGAAAGTGATGTAAATATTAAATTGTTGTGTATCAAAACATAGAATGTAGTTAGAATAGATGAAATATCCTAAAATGAAATGAATATATGTATTAGTGTGCCAAAACACGATGTTTATATGTTATAAATTTTTTATTGAGTTATTACGGTAGATATATCGGGTTCAATGAAAGAGAATTTAGCATCAATAACCAAAATAATAATAATAATTAAATGTATAACCAACCATATTATGTTTTGGTTCAAGCATAATGACTCAAAAGGCGAAACTAGGTTTTTGAATCCGTGCGGCGCACTTCAGATCTCTTTATAGAGATGAACTTGTTCAAAGCTTTAGAAACAGAGATAAATAAGAACACGTTACATTTGGGCAATTTCGATTGCCTCTTTTTGGCTTTTTCATTAACTTAAATAGGTAAACAAAGAACGAAGAGATGGAGCTGTAGGACTGGTGCCAACAGTTAATCACGGAAGAAAGGACTCACTGTGCCAAGATCACCTCTGAGCTAAGTGGGCTCAAATAAAATACGCGTGCATACAAATTCACTAAACTACTAGACCGGCTAATTCTGAATTACTTCTCTTCAAGATTCTCTTCAATATATTTTTTACGGGGGTTAACCTCTTTGCTTCTATGGAAGAATTTCTTATGGGGGTTGACCTCCTTGCTTCTATGGTACAATCCTCTTCCCGCTGAGCCTCCTTTATTCTCGCCTACAAAACAGGAATGAGGAAAAATGGAAGAGTGGTTCCCTAAACACAAGGGATACTCGTTCTCTTCTTATCTATAACTGAAACAAATAACAAAACTAAAAAAATACAGAACCGAACATAACATTACTTGGTTAACTTATGGTTTGACATCTTGATTTGGTTCGATTGTCCTTGAACTCCATCATCTCTCCGGCCGACCGGCCGCCGTCGCTTCACCATGTTTCAGCCGGTGGAGGACGTGGGCTCTCCTCTGAGTCCAGTCACTTTACCGGAGGTTCCTAAAAAGCAATCATACTCAGCGATAGTACAAAGCAAGCAAAGTCTCTCAAAACACGATTTCAACTTCTCGTTAGTGGATGGAACTCCGACAGTACAAATCCCTGACGACATCATTGATGATGCAACTCTTCTGTGGGAAAATTTCCTTGTCGGAAAATTTCTATCGACGGCGCCTCACGTCGCCAAAGTTCACGTAATCGTTAATAAGATTTGGACTCTAGGAGATAATTCTGTGAATATCGATGCATTTGTGGTCAATGATGTTACGATCAAGTTCAGAATCAGAGATAGCAGAATACGATCTAGGGTTCTTCGGTGTGGGATGTGGAACATAGCCGATATTCCCATGGTGGTCTCCAAATGGACACTGATTCAGGAAGAAGCTCAGCCAGATATCGAAATAGTACCTATGTGGGTCGTTCTTAAGCAGGTCCCTCACAAGATGTTCTCATGGAAGGGACTTAGTTTCCTTACCAGTGCAGTTGGAGTTCCGAAGAGACTGCACCCTGATACAGAGTTATGCAAGAGCTTTGAGGAGGCAAAGATTTTTGTCCAGGCTGACATGACAAAAAACTACCCAAGTCATTCAGATTTAAATCAGACAGAGGAGTGGATTCAGTTGTAGAAATATAATTATCCATGGCTCCCACCGAGATGTTCTACATGCTCAAAATGGGGACATCTCAAGGAAGTTTGTTTAGTAAATGCAGAAGGGATAAAATTAAAAGACACAGTGGTGGAAAAAACCTCAGAATCGTTAAGAACAGAGGCAACTCGAACTAATAAAGAAGAAGAAGTCCTAGCAACAGGCTCAAAATTCCTAAGTTCCAGTGATTTGGGTGAAGCAGGAGAAGTAGTTGGAACAGAGGAAGCTTTCGTAGAGTCAGAGGAAAAAATTGTTGCGGACAATCAAGTGATAGAGGAAGTGGTTCAAAAGAAACAAATTGCAAAGGAGGATTCAGGCCAGTGGCATACTGTTTCACCAAAAAAACAGGAAGAAAGCCTGGTTCTAAGCAGAAAGGAGAAACTGAGACTATTAGCTCACCATCTCGTTATATAATTTTAGAGACAGAGGAAGAAGATAGGGACGAAGAAGAGAAAGAAGAGGGGGAAGAAGAAATAACAGAGGAAGCGGAAGAAGGGGAAATTCAAAGAGTGAAAATTAGAGGAGAAACGCTGGACATACAAGGGACTCGTCCCTCAATCCCGAGAATCTCAAAAGCTATGCATAAAGTCTTGTCAAAACCTGGCACTCAGTCCACGAAGGATCTCAAACTCCAACGTGTCTCGAGTAAAAGGTTTTCCCGCAAACAAAAATAAATGTCCAGGTTCTTTTGGAATGTTCGTGGTGTAAACAAATCTTCTAAACATTCCATCATACAGAGTTGGATAAATAATAGTTCAATGCAATTTGGATGCTTGTTGGAGACAAGAGTTAAGGAAAACAAGGTATCGAGAATTGTTTCTTCAATTTTCAGAGATTGGTCATTTCTGTCAAACTATGAATCATACAGGTTAGGGTACATTTGGGTGGTCTGGGGTGCAAATGCGAGACTAATCCGTGTGTTCAAAAGCAGTCAGATGATTACATGTTCTATTAAACTAGTAGGACAAGAGGAGTTTTGTTCGTTTGTTTATGCGTTAAACTTCATTGAAGAGAGACGTATTATGTGGGAAGATTTACGAAATCATCATGATTCTCCAATGTTTTGAAATAAACCCTGGCTGATTTGTGGTGATTTCAATGAGATCTTAGATGGCGAAGAACACTCAAATTACCCAAATGCTCACATAAATATCTCTGGCATGCGAGAGTTTCAAGACTTGGCCCGCTATTGTTCTCTTCAGGATCTTGGCTATCATGGTCCGAAATTTACATGGTGCAACAAAAGAGGGGAGGATCTCATATGTAAGAAGCTGGACAGAGCTTTGCTGAACAATGCATGGTGCAATTCTTTTCAAAGCTCGTATAGTGTATTTGAAGCTGGAGGCTGTTCCGATCATGCTAGGGGACGTGTGATGCTGGAAGCAGAATCTGTTGGAGGCAGTAAGCCATTCAAATTTGTAAATATTCTCACGAGCTTGCCGCAGTTCGCGCCAATTGTTGGAAACTACTGGGAGAATATAGAGCCGCTATTTGTTTCGACATCAGCCATGTATCGTTTCTCAAAGAAACTCAAAGCGCTGAAACCTGAGTTGCGAGCTCTTGGGAAGGAAAAACCTGTTTTAGGTCTCAATCAATCACCCCTCTATGTGAATCAGTTGTAGCATAGCATATGGTTTTATGTCAATCCAAATGGGTTTGTTGAAAGCAGAAGAGTTGTGAGCAGAGATCTATAAGTCAAGCAAGCATATAAAGTTTTTCTTGCCTAAGCAACCAATCTAACACCCTAAGATGATCAAGCAACAAAGAGAATAAAGAAAAAGACAGTTTAAACAAGATTAAGCAAGCAAAACATAGCAAAATAGAGCAAATCCGAAATTCAATAAAGAGAAAAGCAAGTTCCTAGATGTGGTTATTGACTTTGGGGAATTCAAGAACTAATGAAGGTTGTTTCAAACAGCCTTGATCAAGCAAACAAGCTAGCAATGGTGATTCCTAGACATAGAGTTCACAATCAAGCAAGCTAGATCCAATGTCTTGTAAAATATCCCTTTGCTAAACATCTTAACAAGAACTAACTCTCATTAGTGCTAAAACACTCAGCAAGCATTAATAAACAACTCTATTATAGTCAAAATGATTCTCAAACAGTCAATGTCTTGAGCCAAGGCCAGCAAATCCTCTATTAAACAAGATCATCATTTCATCAAACACTTGGTGGGCATAAGAGAAAGCCTAAATTCTAGATAAGTGTGATCAAGACAAATCTAGTTTAAGAACAGATCAACAGAGAGGAACCCATATAATGAAGCACTAAACAAACTTTAATCAAGCCCTAAATTCCCCTAATCTACCACATCTAAAAATCCCTAAGCAAACTACTCACTAACACCCATGGTTAACACCAAATCACAAGAGGAAAATATGATAATCATGATTAAAAGAGAGATTAAATAAAGATTAAAGGCAAATACCAACATATATTAAATAAAGCAAAAGATTTGTCTTACAAACTCAAAGAAAATGCTTAAAAACAGTAAATTGACAAGACTTATCGAAAATTCCAGAAAAATGCCTATTTATAGGCAAAAGAAGGAAGCCCTAGAGTAATGGCAAAAGTGTAAATAAAACAGGCTCTGACTGGGTTCATATCGATCAGTTGTATCAGTCTGGGCTTGATCGATATGAATCATATCGGTCTGGAAAGTGATCGATACAATGACCAAAATATACACGGTGCATTTATATCGGTCACTCCTGACCGATACCCTTGTTCGATACTGCTTGTATCGGTCACTCATTGGCCGATATTCTTGATCGTTACGCCATGTATCGGTC